TGGACTGTCCAGAAGTGTCCATGTGCTCCTTCACAGACCCAGTGTGTGGGGCAACGGGCCCAGGTCCCAGTAAGACTTTTTCCAGCGAGTGTGAACTCAACGTGCTCTCCTGTCTGGCTGGGGTGACTCCGATCAAGCTCTATGCCGGAGAATGTGATCCAGATGATGGTCAGTACTGAAGTGATTCTATCATGCTTCAGTTTATTCTTTTAGGGCGTATAAGACACCTTTGTCCAACCAGAAACAGATCAAAGGCAAAGTTTTGGCACATTTTGAACCTACAGATACAAACCAGAAACACAACATTGAAGATTTCAAAGTATCCATGCTGTTGCCTTTGCTTTTATGTTTTAGAAAAAGAGAACAGAGTTGGAAAAATCAATATGGATAACGACATTAAGCTTCTTCAGGCGTTCAAATAACCAAAATTCAAGACGTCAATTTCAGTTAAAAGTTTTTTTCCTTAACTGCTTTCACCAAAATGTCTTTTATCCATTCCATATGCTGAGACATGTTGATGATGTTGCAGTTGGATTTACACCTTTCTTTGGACGATCATAAACATTTCTTATCTCATCTGAAACTTTGTTCTCTTGAATTTTGGTTCTTCTGTGTGCTCTTGCATGTTTAAAAAGTGAGGATCGGGGAAGACAGACATTGAATCAATAGACCTGTTTCACAATGTCGTTTTCGTCTTTTACTTTTTTAGTTCGTCTTTCTTACACACCCCCTTAAAACGTATCATTTATTCTATAGTATTTCCCTTCAGACCATAGCAAGTTCAAATGTGACAAACGTAATATAATATGATACAGAAAGGTCAAATGTCACATGAAATTGAAAAACAAAAAACAAAACCTCAGAAGGAGCAAGGGGGCTCTCGTGGCCTAGAGGTTAAGGTGTTGGCCTCTCATTCAAAAGGTCCCGGGTTCGAATCCGGATAGCGACCAAAAAATTGTCTTCTCTAAAATTGTCTCCTTTCACCTCCTTTCCTGCTTTCTAGCAATGTTCTGTTGTCTGCTTTTATTTCCACTTTCTGCCCCCCACCCCCTCACCTCCTTTGCCCCCTCCTCTGGGCTCCTAACTCTTTCTGCAGCCTTTCTACTGTTACTCCTTGGCTCCTCCTTACTGCTGTCTTTCTGCCACACCCCTGATCTTCTGGTAGGGAAGATCTATACCTAGCCTTCTCGGACAAGGGCGAAAAATCTCGGAGGGCCTGTGTGCAAGTTGCGCACGTTAAAGATCCCTTGGTGGTCTAAAATCGATAAGAGTAGGCTTCAGCCGCCACCCGGGCAAAATTCAAAATTTCCTACCAACTGAAAATATTAGGTGTGTCCCGTGCGCTCATATGAGCTTATGCAGTTGCGAGCGCCGTAAAACAATTTGCAAAAACAAAACAAGAAGGAGCAAAATTGCACGTAACTTTTTAAAATGAGAAAATTAAGATAAGATACCTGTTCCTGATCTAATCTTTTCATAAATACGAGTAATTTTTGCACTTTACTATGGGTGCATTAATCTCCTTTAGCTTCGATTGCCAACTGAATGATTGCCTCTTACAAATGAAATCCCTACCCACTAGACTTGCCAGCTAACCGACTGTGTGAACGAGATGGCCCCGTTCAGACAAGCATCAAATACGAGTACAGTGACGCCCTACAAAACTGCTACGGGCCTGTGGTCGAGGTAGGCACCTGCACGTCTCTGCTGTGTGACGGCGGCACCAAAACCTGCTGTAAGGCCACGGAGAAGGACAGCATGGAGGTCACCGTCAGCTGCTATAGCACTCAGGATCCCAGGGAGTTTCTCAGGTCTTGGAAGCATGTGGTGAGTATGTAGGTTACCTGGTTGGAGAAAAGGTACCGTCGCAGGCAGTACAATGCCAAAATTGCTATTCCCTCCTCTCCAGGATCCATGAAAGGGTTGGCTTGCTGATCATGCCAGTTATTAGCAGGCAGCAGGTCTGACAGTATGAAGATTGAATATTTCAACTAGTTGATACTCAACGTTTACTATATGTATCTGCAAAATCAAGTCCTTGCGGGAAAGGGGGAGGGGGTGTAACTTTTTACATAGTTTCTTTCAAAATCCCACAATATTTTGTGCAAAATGCTCTTTTCACTCAATAGGGTATCACCAGTATTGTAATTACAGTCGTAAATAATATAATTTGAGACACAACAAATGTTTGACTTAGCCTGGTGGATACACAGAGCTGGACGCCGCAAACTGCTTATGATTGGTCTCAGCTCAGGCTTGACCTGACTGAATTTACAAGTCCAAGCTTTCTGTATTTGTGAAAAATCAGTCCAGTTTTAATTTCTTCATGTCCTGTCTTCTGAGATACCCAGGTCCTACGACCTGTGTCTCTATTAGTTTAACCGTGCTCTGCATCTTCATTAGTGGCGTAAGCTGACAAAACGCCTTAAAAAATTTTGGGGACCAAATATTTTTATTGGCTGGATCAAAAGTCTGATAAATTACTCTACTTTTGTGGAAAAAATCTGTGAAACTGTGAATGGATTTTAAATAAATTTGTATTTAAATTTCGTAAGAACAACTTTTTACAATGGTTATGCTGACAAAAAGCTTCTTTTTCTTAAAAGTGCTGTGAGTTTGTTTTTTTTTAAAAGGCTTTTTTCAGCTTTTGGCAGAGTAGCTCAACAATATTGTGTCTTCATTAACCCAGTCTTACCTTGTCTACGTTAGGTCAGCAACACTTTGTGTCTTCATTAACCCAGCCCTACCTTGTCGTGTTTAGCTAAGCCATACTTTATTCCTTTGATTGCTCAGCCACACCTCAACCATTACATACAGCAATGCCCTATGTCTGTTTTCAATCTTATTTTATTTCATGCTTATTATGAGAGAGAGACAGAGTTATGCCAGAAATGTATTCCTCAACTAGAGTTTGTAAACTTGTTGCACATCCACACCCATTACGCAACGTTAGTTTTGTGCAGCTCTCCAGACTTAGATAAATGGTTCATCCTGGCTGAATGAAGTCATTTTTTATGGTGAAGGAAAAAAGAAGGTGAATTTCCAAACACTTTCTGAAAGTGGAGTCAAGACTGGAGGAAATTATTATAGTAATCCTAAGAACCGGAGCGAGCGACTTTGCAAGAGATGTACATGTAAACCTTGCTCGACAACCTAATCTCAGGTGCATGGGTCCCTTAGGCCCAGAGGACTAGGCGTCAAATGGTTAAGACAAAGGGTTGGACGATTTTGAGCAAAAGGTTGAATGTTCAGAATCATCAAGTACTTATTATGCTGTGCCACTTATTTTTTAAATAATAGTATGACGATACAGTGTTGGCTATTTCATAATGATCATTCTTCTCTTTTTTATTTTGGTCCTCCAGCACTATACTGCCAGGAAGTGTGCATGCCTTGGGGAACCCTAAAGAGCAAAGAGAAACAACTGAGTTGGCCTGGCTGTTTGATTACAGTGCCATATCTCTCAGACGAAAGTTTTGTCTTTTTGGTGGTGATGTACCATTGCCAATAAAGGTGTACCCTTTTTGTTGGACTCTTGATTTGTTTCTTTCCTAAAAAGGAGTTTTTCAAAAGTTGTTGTACTGAGTGTGTGACTATGTATGTTTCAGTGTCTGTGAAGAAGAGAAGGAGATTGAGAGATTTGATATGGTAAGCTGTGTACCATGTAGTCAGTCGGAAAGACATTTAAGTTGCTGAACACCGCCCTGAAAAGCCATTTTTTAAAAATCCTGTGAGGCTCGCATTCACAGAAATCAGTTCCATATGAAGACGGAATCCTCGTTTTGCAAATATGAAATAACAAAATGGCTGGTATACCTCAAACCCATGTACCACAGACCTTGGTCAAAATGAAATAGCTGTTTCTTTTTTTAAATTGAGGCAGTGTGACTCTTACTGCACACCAAGCAGTTTGTCTTACAACCAGTCTTGATGACATGTGAGACAGCGTGGTGGAATCAGGCTCTCGTCAAAATAATCAAAGTGAAGAAACGTGCATTTTTCTGCAGGTTTGTGAATTTTTATCAAATTTTTGTTTTTTGGCTCAACACCCTTCATGCCTGTTAAAGAACTCATTTCGGTGCGGAATTTTCTGAAAGGCGTTGAATAAAGGCACAAAAATGAAAATTTTCAGTAACCACAGACTCTTAAGCTAAGGAAATATCTAATTTTGGCGGCCATTTTCTCACTAATTTTACCTCTGAAAACACGTGACCCCCCACCTCCTTCTTTCGCAAATATCTTGACTTGTATTCAAGATAAATGGATATTTTTTTCATACAAATAAAGATAAATAAATCGGCTTTAAGATGACACCAATCACTCTACATGCCTAAAAATTGACGAGAGCCTGATTCCACCCTGCTGCCTCACATATGTCTTTGCGCACCTTTTCGTCTATAGAGTATGATGCAATGATACTCATAGTATGGGTTAGGTTAATACCTAGTCATATGCAGACCAGCAAAAAACAGTTGAGGATGGCGAAAAAACAGAAGGGGTGTATTTAAATCCCAGATGTCTTTCTATACCCTCCACATTTATTTTTAGATGAGTCTCTAAGGTTGGAAACTGGACATTACATGAGAAGACAGAAATGTGCTTCTTATGTTGACCATGTAGTACTTTAAGTTCACGGTATTGAGTGTATTCAGGCTTATCCCATACGTTTGTCTAAGAAGCTGTCACCAAACTCTAAGACTTGGCAAAAATCGAATGTCAGACACTACGAATTCATTGGACACGAAGCTCACTATTTTCTGCTCAATAGGAGCTTTGTCCTGAGGGAAAGTCAACTTCTAAATGAAAAACAGGAAAAACAAAATCCAACCCTAGATCTAAAATGTATGGGCCAGTGATATAGTTTTGTACTCGAAGTCTTAAGATCATTTTGTAAAGCAGACATTCGCTTCACAAATAATAGTCAACACTACACAAAACCTGAACACAGCATAGTTTAGAAAAAAAAGCGAATAAACTGAAAGAATAATAAAGGCCTCAAATCATTTTACATGCTTGTTGTTTATTAGTAGATTGATTAATACTTTCTTCCCCAGGAACTGCATATAATCCAGGTTCCTGTTCGGACTAGTGTTAAAGCCGACCTAGTTGTGGACTCATGGCTGTTCTGCAGCAGTTTCTTCCCCTGAGTCCTCTTGACATTCACATTTGGTGGCCGTGTAGTACTGAGGATTAGAAAACAAGTGAGAGAGATTCAGAATGAAAATTTTTAGTTTAGCTTTAGAAATAGTTTTACGGCACTTGCAACACACTAAGGTCGTATAAGTGCCAAAGACTGGATGTGTTACAAGAGAGTAACATACATAAACAGAAGGAAAGATAAAGACGATGGATTTTTTATAGGAAAGAAGGAGCAAACCATCATGAATAAAAAGTAATCAAGATAAACAAGCATGTTTCGTTCTTGCCTGACGCTTAACACCCTATGTAACAGAATTTACAAACTATAAAAGTGGCACTGGTCTTTGCTATATTTCACAACAGGTAAATTGAAAGCAAATAGAATCCCCCAAAGCTTTTTTTTTTTTTGGTGCTATTTGAGCAGTCTCTTCAAACTAAAAACATGACTAAACCAAAGAAAATGTGGCTGTGCCACAGATTTTTAGTTAATCCTTTGAACCCTAGCCACCGGTGTATTGTTGGCACGTAAAATTGTCTATGCTTAGCCACCGGTACATCAGTGAGAGGGACCTAATAAAAAACCCAGCCCGCCTGGGACAAAATGCCCATGGAAAACAGTTTTCCCTACACAGGATATTCTCTATTATTTTGAAGATCTTTCTGATTAAGATGCTGGTAATGATGAAGACTATTCTGAGTGAGACATGGAAAGTGATTCTGACAATTTTATGAAGAGAGGCATGAATCACTTAGGAATTCAGGCAGAGGGGCACGAAAACCTCCGGAGGTTAGGGCTCAATGTTTGCTCTACTGGAGATACTAACCACATGCTTCCAAGATTTCAGGAAGAATCCAAGGTCCTCTGTGGAGTAGCAGTTGACATTGACCTCAACCATGTCTTTCTCCGTTGCCTTGCAGCAAGTCTTGGAGCTTCCTTCACACAATAAGGTGCCACAGGTGCCAATCTCTATCACCGGACCGTAGCACTTCTGTATGGGGTCATCGTACGTGTACTTGACGCTGGTCATAATGGGGCCGTCTCGCTCACACATGCGGTTAGCGGGCACGTCTGATCAATTGGAAACACAAGTAGTAAGTTTGGAGAAAATGGAAAACAGAGATACCTTAGAGACCATGGCAGTGTAATGACGAAATTTTTCGGTGGTTTTTTAAAGATATTTTGAAGTGATTGATTTTCTTTCCCTTTGCCTTTCACATGCAACAGCTCTGAAACTTGTATACTAAAATGTACCCATACTGAACTATTGAAGATATTTAGCAATGTCACTGGGGGGAAAAAAGATTTTCAGAATACTTTTCAAAGTGCCATAAGGTGATACATTGTTTTTCATATTTATTATACTTCGAGCTATACTCAAGCTGTACTGGAGGCGTGTGGGGGTGGTTGGAGGGGGGGGGGTGCAATGAAAGTAAATGAACAGAACTCTATGAATGATGCTTTTGGCATGAATTGTCAACACTTTGTACCCTATCTGATTGGCAACTGCAGTGGTGCAGCTGGATGAAACGTGACAAAAAAAAAAGACAATGTAAAGTATCTTTAAAAATGTTCGTATTGCTGGAACATTCCTTTCAGCATAATACCCAAGCAATGGGAAAACCAGAGCTTTCCATTCAAAATAGCCTATACTGGGTACAGCAGAAAAGGTGACAAATCACCTACAAACATCAAAAGCCATAAGTCAAATATTATAAACATTCACACAACAGCAGGATCAAAAACAACAAGTAAAAATAATACTGCCGTATGTAACCAAAAGGAAAATGGTTTACTTACAAGTCTTCTTAAATGTAGAGCGAAAATAACAGTTGGAAAGAAACAATCGTTAGTCTTTATTTATCACTTCACTTACTCCCAAGCTGCAATACGTTGTGGGCTATGCTGGTTTGAACCTCCTTGTTAACATTCTGGAACTTGAGTAGTTGGTGGACTTCTTCAGTTCTCTGCCCATGACTATTCTACAGAAATGTTAAATAATACAGTTTCTCTTCTAAGAAATACCGCGGTTAACTAACGGAGGCATTACTTTTCACTGTAACCCAAGAGCTTGCGAACCTTTTTAAAACCAGTGCCCACGTTAGCCATATTTAAGAGCCTATAATTGATGTGCTGCCAACCTACATATTATTTCCAAGCCTGCCATTAATTAGCCCTCTCTCCGTCAGGCCCCAAACCCTTGTGAGCTATTTGTTGCATTGTAGACCTGGTCTAGCAGTAAGAATAGGGCTAGCACTTTTCACTCCCTGGGTAATCTCCACTGCCCACAAAAATTATTGATTTATCTACAAGTGGGCAATACCACCCACGTTGGCAAGCACCGCTGTAACTTGAGTAGAGTACTGACCATCATCTGGATCACATTCTCCGGCATAAAGCTTGATCGGAGTCACCCCAGCCAGACAGGAGAGCACGTTGAGTTCACACTCGCTGGAGAAAGTCTTACTGGGACCTGGGCCTGTTGCCCCACACACTGGGTCTGTGAAGGAGCACATGGACACTTCTGGACAGTCCACAGGCACGCCTGAAACAAAACACTTCAAAATTGAAACTGAAAATGGATTTCATTCATGTTACAACTTACTTTATTTTTACCTTTTTCTTCCGCGTGTACGGTGGGTGTCGCGGGGAGACACAGGCGTCTGTCTGGAGCAAGTCGAGTGGCCTGTAGGAGGGACATCCCGTGAGCTCTGAGGGTGTCTGCCACATATTCATTCCATCGTCGCCTTGGTCTTCCTCTGGCTCTCCATCCAGAATAATTGTGTATGCTCTCAGAGCTGGATGCTTTGAGGGCATCCGCATGAGGTGTCCGAACCACTTGACCTTTTGTTTTTCAATGTGCGGTAGGACTGGTGTTGCTCCTATGGTGTCCTTACGAATTCATTTTTTTTATTTTATTTTGTCTCTTCTTGTTTTGTTGACCGCTCTTCCTAAGCATTTCATCTCGCATGTGACCAGTTTCCTCTCTAGGGCTTTTGTTAGGGACCATGTCTGGCACTGATATATGAGTGTTGGAAGGAAAATGGCGTTGATGAGCTTCGCCTTGGTGCTCATGGGGATATTGGGAGGTTTCATGAGAGGGCCGAGTTGATAGCTGACTGCGTTGGCTTTCTGGAATCTAGTCTCCATTTCTCGATCTAATTTTCCATTTTCTATGAAAATGCTGCCCAAGTATTTGAATTCGATGCTTTGTTTTAGTTGGGATCCATTGATGCTGGTAACAAATGTGTCTGGTCTCCTGCTAATTGTCATGACTTTGGTCTTGCTAATACTGATCTTCATGTCATATTTCTCGAAGCTCGCATTTAGTTGGTTCATATGCTCCTGTAGCTGGGTCTTGTTGTTCATCATAGCCAGGTCGTCTGCAAACATGAGTTCGTTGAGTGCCTCTGGGTCTGGATTGGCCTCCTTTGTAATCTGGTCCATGTAGATCACAAAGAGCAGAGAGGGGAGATTGCAGCCCTGTCTGGCTCCGGATGAGACTGGAAACCAGTCCGATGTTCCACTGATAGCGCAGAGTGCGCTTCTGCTGTTGGCACAGATAGCCCTTGATGTCGCACTGCTCCAGGGTTTACTCGATCAAAGGCTTTTTCTTGATCCACAAATACGAGATGGAGATCTTGCTCGTATTCCAAAGACCTCTCAAACAGTTGTCGGAGTGCGAAGATTGCATCAGTGCACCCTCTTCCTTTTCTAAAACCAAACTGGGCGTCACTGAGAAGATGTTTGGCTTTTCCGCCAGTGTGTCGCTTTAGGATCTTTGCATACATTTTCCCCGCCTCTGTAGGTGTTGCAGTCTTTCTTGCTGCCAGTTTTCTTCCATACTGGCAACAACTATCGCATTTTGTCAGCCTGCTTGTACTTTTCTTCCTTTCCAGGCTTTCTTGAAGATGATTGTAAGCCCATGTATTCCGGTTTCACCGCATGCAAGGATGGCTTCGGTTGTGATGCCATCGTCTCCAGCTGCCTTGTTCTTTGGAATAGTCTTCAGTGCTTCTCTCACTTCACTCTCCAGGAGGGTAGGTTCTGAGTGCTCTGGGTAGTTGGCGGTGAAGGGGCACTGTGTGTTTTGTGCCTGTACTCCTGATGGGTTTAGCAGTTCTTAAAAATATTCTTCTCATCTCTTTATTATTTCCTTCTCTTCTTGTAGAGCTTCTCCATTAGTATCGTTGATGACAGCATGTTACAAAAAGTAGCTTTAAAAAATGTGTATGCATAAATCATAAATCTTGTATATATCTCTACCATTTCTCTAAAGCCAAGGAAAATTTCCGTCTGAGACAATAACGTATTACGATATCTTATCTTTAAAGATAAGAAAAATGACATCTATCCTGCTTACCAGTTCCAGGGTCTACACAGGGTACAAAGCACGGGCGACTCTCCCGAACCTCATACAGTTCTGTCAGCCGTGTCAGGCGCCCGTCCTGGTATGCAATGGTCACACGTGTCCTGGTCTGATAGCCTGGACCACAACCCAGTGCTGAATTGCTGAACTTGCAGCGCCCATAGAGAGTCCACTTGCCAAACTGAGGCTCAGCAGCTGCAACATGGTTTCAGAAAAAAGTTTAGTGTACAAGAAAAACATTGAAACTTTCTATAAAAGTCAGTATCACAATGCATTGAAAGGAGGCTGACGCAATGTTTTTTCCATTCAATGAAAAGGGAAAAGATCTATTCAAATGACTGAAGTGTGTTTTGCAGAGAACACAATTACATTTGCATTATTTTACTTGCTTTGTAAAATAAATTAACAGTACCACCAGATTTTTTAAAGCATAGGTTATTTGCTCATTAAGGAACTGCAGTGGCAAATCTCTTTGAACGTAGCTACATTTCTACCAACGGATGTCTAACTTCATGCTATGGTGATGCAGGGTATAAATAAACTCCCGCACGAAAGCAGAATGTATTACATTTCTGATGTATTTCACTTTAATGATGCAGTTAGTATGATTGTATGCTTGCCTTGTTCCATTCCCCGTCTTCCCTTCTACTTTATCCAAAGTGCATTGTGTTTGAGACGTCCTTTTTGCCCACAGTTAGTGTCTTCTTCGTTTTCGTCTGACCACGGTTAAAACAAGATAAAAACAAATCGTTCTGTTAAATGTTCTCGGGGTCAGTTTGGTGTCGAAGTCTCAATATGAGCAATTTGTGGGATCGCTTACTGTAAATCATTTATTGTAGGGATCTTGTACATGTACCCAAAGGGCATTGTTTAAAAGGAAGAAATTTGTAATGACTTTAACAAGATTTGTTTTTCATTTTGCTGGGTCACTGGCTTACAGGAGTGCCATGCAAAGTTATGTGCATATTGGTTAACTAAAAAATATGCTAGTTTTTTTTTCTAATGCCAACAGGCAAAAGTGAGCAAGCAATTAAATAGCATGGGAGATGAACGTGCACAAACTGCAGGAATTACTTACGTCGAGGTCCTGGACGGGCACCAGGCCCACGGCCACATTTTCCTTTCTGAGCCGTAATATGGCTTGACTTGGGCATGTTCTGTGGGCCTCCAAACTGAACGCACACATACACCAGCATCTCTGCATAGGACGAGAACGTCTGTAGGGTCGCGGAATAGGCTGGGCCACACACCTCCCCTGGGGAATGGAATGGTAAAAGTTGCTGATAAAAGGAGAAATTACAGATTACGTCTTTCATCACACTCAGGAACGGGATAACATTGGGTATGAATAAAATAAATATTTTTGTAAGCCTACAAGAATGGTCAAGAGTGGGGTTTTTTGTGTTTTAGTAAGCATTTTACGGCATTTGCAACACAATCAGGTCATATGAGGGCCAAAGATTAGAGGTATTATTACAAGAGAGTAAAAAAGGAGGAGGAGACATAAAGACGATAGTTGTTTAATAGGAAAGAAGGAACAAACCATATCAGAGCTCCTGCCAACCACCCACTTCAAGGGTGGAGTGATAAAGGATGGGTAAGATATGAAGACTTTTATAAAGTGTCTACAAACACATTCAAGGACAGAACGAAAGCGTTAAGGAAAAGAAGGAAGGTTTGCGTAAGATGTCTTCCATCACTGTCAAACCTCAAATATATACAGGTGTATGATGCATTGGATGTTTTAGACAACTTAAGCAAAGATTAAAATATAACAAAGGGAGGAACACCTGCAATTAAAGGGAATGGGCTGAAATCTGAACAGAGCAGGATTCTCAGGAAAGACAACCAAAGTAGGCTATTTCATCCAACTTCATCCCAATGCAAACTAAGCACTGGAATCTGCCTTACTAACCAGGAGGGAATCAAGAAACACCCATTCTGTTTCTGAATCCTTACATATCTATAGACCTCAAAGCTTAGATGCTACATACACACAGTAGAATCACATTATACTGCACAAAGAAAAGTTAATTTGCTATACAAAAACTTTTTTTTTTAAGTAGAGGCACACTGACAGCCTGAAAGAAGTTAAAGGAGACATGAAGACCACCTGTAGCCAGTTCTGGTGGAGGAGGTGGCAAAGCGTCTCCCAGGGCAGGGTCATCACAGTTGCCGGGCAGTGGCTGACGGGTGTTTCCTATGCCAGCTGAGAAAAATTGAGAACATAAACAGGACTCAAAATCTCCTTCATTTAACGTTCAAGTAGAATGTAAGTCTACTTTGTAAGCTTAAGTAATTTGTATGTATTACAAAACTTCTATAAAACCTTGACAAGTTCAATACAATGTCCCTTTTCTAGGGTTTCCTACCTCAGCTAGACATACAGCTAGGGAAAGATGTGAACCAGTAAAACTATTGTTTACAGTGTAATATGCTTGAACTTGTTCTTTGATATCCAAATGATTATAATGCTAAATCACTGTAGTAGCTTCACAAAAACCAATTTTTTCAAATCACCCTGGTCACAAATGGTATTTGTAATGATTTATCAAGAAAGTAAAGAGTACCCATAAGCACATATAACAATGGTATAAGTTACAAGTCTTGGATGCCAATTGAGGGATTAAGCAACAAAATACACCCTTTGTGTGTTTTTGTTTGAGTTGTAAAAGTAAACCAAACTGCCTGCAACCGAGATATGGAAAACCCCCAGTACTATCTAAAGTACAATAATCTTATCTCGTTAATAAATGTGTATATTAATCTAACTATTCTGGACAAACCACACTTACTTGTAATAACGGGCGTCTTGTCAGTACACGGGCCTTTCCTAACTTTGGTGGGATCAAACTCCAGGTTGCTAATGCACAAGACCTGGAACAGAACCAGCCCACTGGAAAAGGTCATTTGCTGGCCAGTGGACAGAGTGTAACAAAGTGGAGACGGCTCACTCGTCACATCACGACAGATCATTGGGATGTTGCACACAGCACAGCATTGTGCATTCTCCGGAAGGGTTGGGATGGCTGCAAGAAGTTCCCGAGAAGAAAAATAGTTTTATTAAATATATGTTTGTTAAAGAAAGTAGATTAAAATTCTCATAAAATAAAGCACATTCTAAATACACAGAGACATTTTGAAACCGAATTTTTCTCAGTATCAGATCATAAAATATTAAATTCAGTCTCCAACTGAAATTCCTCGATTTTTTTAACGATTTAAACATTTTTTAAACATATAGGCTCCTCTACATGAAACAGAGTTACAATACAAAACAATAGTTCACTCTAGGATTTAGCAAGCATACAAAACCCCAAGAGAGTAAAAATTAATTACAAGTATTGTATTAGCCCTAAGAGAGTAAAAATTACAAGTATTGTAGGCCTATTTAATTAAATCTGATAATAAGAAAATCCTTTAATATACCGATGCTAGCAGAAGGTCGATGAATTTTAGAGTGGAGATCGATGACGCAGTTAACATGGTACATGAGGCTTATAAGTCCCGGTACATCTATATCAACTTTTTAGTACCGGATGAAACCAAGGCAGTGACAAACTCAGTTGCAAACAACACACTTTTGCTGCTGCTGATTATGATGATGATGATATAGACATGATGAAGATGACAACGATAAAGAATATTTGTTGTGTCAGCATGACGGTCATCACATAAACATACTTATCAACTTCATTATTGCCTGCCGTTTTCCACTCCAAATACATTTTCTACTAGTAATGAGGTACTACCATTTTTGCGTCCACATATCTGTATTTTCATTGACATTTTGAAACTTGAGCAAACCAAAAAGTTGAGACAAACGATTAAAGACACAAAACAAAAAGGAGGACCAAGAGCTGTTAATTTCAGCAATGTGGGTACCAAATAATAGCTGCATAAAACTATCGTAGTTCGAAGTCTTCTTACCAATTTTATCACGTTCACACTCATTTGTCTCTTGGTTAAGAAAGTATCCTGTGCAACACCTGCACTCAAAAGTTCCATCTTTGTTGACACATCCAGCGTGATCTCCGCAGGGTTTGGGATTCTGGCTGCATTCATCAATATCTGCAAGGAAACAACCAAACTGCTGTAAAAGAGTGAGGACAACGCGATTCTCTCAGTTTGAATCTTTAACATTTCGGAGAGGGGGAAGGGAGGGTGTTCAGTTTTAGCAACAGTTTTACGGCACTTGCAAAACAATAAGGTCCTAAGAGTGCCGCGGATTAGAGCTGTTACAAGAGTGTATCAAACTCAATAAAGAAGGAGGAGAGATGAGGACGGTAGATGTTTGATAGGAAAGAAAGAGCAAACTAGACCAGAATATCCGCAAACCACCCAATCACATTTCTGTACAGGCCTAATGACCTTAGCCCTACAGACTTGACAGCATGGTTTAGAGAGCTCTATTTTCACACGTTCCAGTGCACCGAACGCATGCCTCACCATACCATAGAGCAAATCTAGTAATTAACATAAAGGAACCGAGGTACACACCAGTCACATTAAACTCAGCGGGCAGAGCTCAAAGATAATTTAGAATATTATCTTCAGCACTAGAGAATAAAATTGGCTTGAAGTTTTACTTGACCATCGAAATGTGCAAAGGATTCCATATATACCGTAGGTCTTTAATTTTAAAATCAGCTTCCTAGAAATTAAATAAAAATTCATAACCTACACACACAGATATTATGTATTATATTGTTTTCATATGTATGCATCACAAAGTGTCAAAATGTGTGTATGTGTGTGCATGTGTCAGTGAGACTGAATGTATGTATGTGTGTGTACAATTTGTGTGTGTGCGTGTGTGAGTGCGCATGCACATGTGTATGTGTGTGTCTGTCTGTTAGCCTGCGCATACTATTTTCATTTAAAACAGGAAAAAACACGTAAGTACACAAGTACAACCACTCACAAACAAGGCAGCGGTGTCAACATATTCTTGCACTACAGAAGTAAAGCTCCTTACCAACACACTCTTCTCCCACCTCCTTGAAGCCATCAGCACAGACGCATTCAAAACCGCCAGGTATATTCACACAATTCTCTTTGCCCAACTCGCAGTCGTGAAGGCCAAGTTTGCACTCATCGATATCTGGGGAAAAGATATGCTGTATACTTAAATATGAAAAGAGCATCTAATAAAGATAGACAAAGTAAGCAAAAGAGGAAAAGAGGTAAAAAAAAAAAAAAGAGAAGGTGATAAAGATGTCGCAATATCATCTATCTTGTCTCATGATTTAAAACAAACAATTCCACAGACCCATGCAATATCCATTTTAAAAAAAAGAAACTGTACTATTAAGATTTTATACGCACTAAGGCATGATTTCTTTTCCGACTTTTTCTTAAACAATAGATTAGATTTCTAATTCTCAGCGAAATACGTTTCTTTAGTTTTATGTTTAGTTTTAATAAGTTGGCACTTGCAACAAAAATAAGCCACATAAGAGTCAAAAACAAGATCTGACAGAGTGATGATGACTGCAATGGTGCAAAAGTACTAACACTACAGATCTTGAAACTGTTAAGACTTTTGGGACTTAAAAACACCACTAACAAAAATGGTTTAAGTTTTTTGAGACTTATGTTTCAAGAAGAAAAAAAACTAAACAATATTTTACAGGCAACGTTAACTTTCTAATGCCGAGGAGATTTCAATAACAGAAACACGATGGGGAACACAAACAGATGCTCACCTTCGCAATCGTTGCAGCTAGAGATGAATCCCATGCTGCAGTTACACCGCTCCTCCTTAGAGCCATCAACGTTGACATAGGTGTAGCATGTCTTAGAACCATCCGGAGGTGTTGTACCTGAGAAATAAAGCAGCATTTTTGAAAAGTACTACAAACGTGGCTGAGAAAACAAGAAGGCTTAGAGTAAAAAAAACCACACAATTCAAGGAGGTATAGAGCGTTTATTTCCCCCCAAGCAGAGAAAGATGCAATATAAACATATTCTGTTATTATATTTTACACTATAGCATGTATTAGAACATATGTTTGAAAGTATCATCAGCTGCAAAAAGGAAAAAAATAGTGTTTAGGTTTTTGGGGACTTACATTTCAAGGGGGAAAATGCCATAAACTTCAACGTGGGAATTGTATAAAATATACGATATCAAACTCTAGAGTAGCCTCGAGAGGACTATACTACCCAGAGGCTTTTTTGGTAAACACCAAGACCTGAAATGTTACAGGGAGAAGAAGTGGAGGAGATTTTTAGCTGGATTACCAATACCTCCCGCCAAAACACAAGCATCATCAATCAAATAAGTTCGACTTTGAGTACATGGCTTAAGGTGAGCAAATTGAAGGTAGAAAAAAGAGATGGAAGACTAACATAGCTTTTCTTGTCTGAGAGAGGAAAATTCGTGTAAAGTGCCTTTCCCGAGGACACAACGTCAGGCCCGCGGCTCGGACCCCCGAACCCGCAACGTCACGATTACGAGTCCGGTAGCGTAACCACTAGGCCACCGACGCCATATATATATATAAACACATGTACTGATACATACACAAAATACTTCAAACTCTGGAAATCTTACCTTTGCACTCAACTTACCCTCATCTTTAAGCCCCTCCCACATTTTGATGCTCATCTTTAAGCTCCACCCACAGCCACTGACTTTGAACCATTATCTAATGAAAACGTTGAAAACTACAGTATACTTCAGTGTATGACAAGCACTAGTTACAGCACTGTTTCTAGTCTTAAGCTTTTATGGTTCTCGCAACTGCATAATGTCATATGAGGCACTGCATTTTGCATAAAAACATGTTATTATTACGCTTAAAAGCTATAAAACAACGAATGACTTGTTCTACCCTCTTCACATCCTTCCGGCATGATGGGGTTGCCGAAGAATCCCTCTTGACATTGACAAGTTAGTTCCTTTTCAGTCTGCACACACACCGTGTTTGGGCCGCATGGGGACTCTTCCTTTCTCATCTCGTTCCCACCAAGACACGTGTAGATCATGCTGCAGTTCTCACTTCTCCATACATCCCCAGGCTATGAACACAAACATAATTGTAAATGCAAGAAGGGAAATGATGAACAGTTTTCAACATTATGACTTTAACTCCTATCACCTTAGAGCATGCATCAAAATAACACTGAGTGTGTATCTAGCTTACGATTATTATTGTTTATGTTGCTGCTCATTTATATTATGTATGTGATTGTAAGCCTACTTGTGTGTGCATGTGCGTGCACGTGTGTACATGTGTGTGTGTGTTTGTGTTTGTGTGTGTGTGTGTGTGTGTGTGTGTGTGTGTGTGTGTGTGTGTGCGTGCGTGCGTGTGTGTGTGTGTGTGCGCGTGTGTGTGTGTGTGTGTACTCGTGGTGGAACACCAAACCAATGTGCCAGGATCTGGACAATAAAGATGTATCTTATCTTATCTTATCTTATCTTATCTTATCTTATCTTATCAGCCAGAACAACACACTCCAACTGCAATATGCGACAATCGACACTTGAGGCCGTTATGGAAAGAAATGGCTGTGTTATAAACGTAACGTAAGTGTACTATAACCCCATGCACCGGTTGAAGTTTTTTATTAATGCTGGACATATATGACACATCAGGGGAGGGGTCAATTCGTAGCGTGCACCGAAGCCACCACATTAACCCGACCTGTAATGTGCACCAGGTATTAGCTTACTCACAAGTTTATAAACACCATCAGGCATTACGCAGCCACACTCCTCAATACGGGTACACAGGCCACCGCTCAAGACAAACCCTTGTTTACACACACAGCCAAATGCATAGTCATCCAACGCATCTTCTCCCTCAATTGGGGCGGAATCCGGCTGAGTACAGGTTGGTTGCTCTGTTACAAGTGTGTATCTGAACCGCATCTGGGGTCCGCATACTAGCAGAGGAAGATGGTGAAAGAAAGACATTTTAGTGGTATTTTTGATCAGACCCATACACTGTAATATAGGAGCTTGAAGAAACATTGAGAACATTTTTAGTTCAGAGTCATACACTGTCATAGCATAGTATCTTGAAAAAACATTGAGAATACATATGGTTAAAATCCACAAAGTAAATGAATGACCATAAAGAGCAATAGACTAACACGAAGAGAGTGAAAAACAAAGGAAGATATAGAAAAGAGAGAGAGAGTATTGTCTTCTTGGAACTCACATTTGAGTGCGATGTTATGTTAATACGATTTTTATCTCAATGTCTTTGAAGTCTCATGGAAGTGACAACATAAACAAACAATAGTATGTCCCTGATCTCCCTCCTAGCAAAAAGAGAGAACCAAAGATACAATTTTTTTCAGTTACAACTCCGGAGTTGATGTTATTCGCCAGTTTATAATTTAAACCTTATTATTGCGAGTAAGTTTTGGGGCAAGTCTCATTGCAACAAAACTCAGGACTGGGGTTATGGCAAAGGGATTAAAGAGCGTAGTCCACAGCTTGCGCTGTATGCTACCTGGGAAACTGAAAATGTTTAAGAGTTTCAGGATCTACTGTGGTAATAATAATTGTAAAGTAAACAGAGCATGCTCTAAAGTGTGGATTTGTGCCATATATATTTAAATACAATTATTATTATTATTATTATTATTATTATCGCAAAGCTGTTGATTACAGTTTCAGCCATAAGATAGTTGACTTACACTCATCACATTCGCTTTGTTCCCCCAGCTGTTGCAATTCATATGAGTTCGTACAAGATGGAATCTCTACCTCAGCCAAATACTCGCATATATTTGGAGCTGCTATGCACAGATATGTCTCACACACTTCCTGAAACACATAATGAGCAGGAATTTTTCTCAGTGAATTGAAAAGATGTACAGTAGATACTTATATATTAAGTTTTTCTTCAAAAAATCATATTATGATAACAAAGGTCATTCCCTTTTGTTAAACATTTTTCAGAAAGCTGAGTCCATCATGACTGGAACAATTGTTGTTATATGTGAGGCATTGTGGTGAAATCAGACGCTTGTAAAAATAAATGAAATCGAAGATATCAGCATTTTTTTCTCCAGTTTTTATCAATTTTTTCCCAGTTTTTTTTTGTTTGTTGACTCAACACCTTTTAAGTCCAATTAAAAACACATTTCTGTGCGGATGTTATTGAAAAACATTGATTAAAGGCACAACAAATGTAAATGTTCAGTTTCCAAGGGCTCTTAAGCTTTGAAAATCACTAAACTTTTGCGGCCATTTTCTCGCTAATTTGACCCCAGAAACCAGATGATCCTGACCTCCTTCAATAGCAAAGATTTTGACTTTTATTAAAGATAGGCATGTCTTTTTTTCATCAAAAGGTAGTCAAATGAACAACATTTGAGATGATACTCGGACTCGCAACCGTAAGGTCGTGGGTTCGAATCCCGTCAAGGGCCCGACGTTGTGTCCTTGGGAAAGGCACTTTACACGAATTTTCCTCATTTCACCCAGGTGGTAATGGGTACCCGGCTATAGACAGCGAAAGATCTTGTCAGTTTGTTAGTGTAAGAGCGCTTAATCGGCTGCTTGCACTGTATGCTTCCCGGGAAGCTGAGAATGTTTCGGAGTGTTCTATGGTCTGCTGGGGTAATAATATAGTGTAAAGCACATAGAGCCTGCTGCTGAGCGGGGATATGCGCTATACAAATGCTATCTATTATTATTATTATTATTATTATTATTATTATTATTATTATTATTATTATTACCAATAACTCCAGATGTCCAAAAACTAACCAGCGCCTGATTCTACCACGTCATGACACATATTTTTTGAAACAATTTACGACAAAATTTTGACATTCGGTCAAAGGAAAAACTGATCTCCAAACACCACCATAAGCTGACACAAAAAGTCAAGCTTACTGTAACTTGCTGTTAAGAGAAGATGTCTGAGACAAACTGATTAGTCTGTAAAGTTTATTCTATATTTTCAAATATAGCTAGATCAAACAAAATCCTCCTTTCCCTTCAAGCATCTCTCGCTGTCCCCAACTCTCATCTAAACACCCACCGGGCCAATGATAGTATGAAAATCTTTAAAAAGAAGGGGAGCTTACCAAAGTATACCCGCAGTACTCTTTCAGAAGGTTACACACATTCCTTTTCTCTGGTGAGCATGGGTCAATAGGTGCAGGAGTGGTTGTGGTTGTGGTTGTAGTGGTTGTCGCTACTGTGGTTGTGGTAGTCGTGGTGGTTGTTGTAGTTGTGGTTGGTGGTGGCGGTGGCACATGTGGAGTACATCTGAGAGGGAAATGAAAACAAAATTGAAATGGGGGGGGGGGGGGGGACGGCAAGTGCAATTTTTTCAATAGGACATTCTCATTTGTTCAAACAACTTATCAATGTTTGGAAAGAGGACACATCCAAATGAAAATTAGAGCAGGAAAGAGTAGAACTGCAGGCAAAAAAACACCTTAAAAAATACAACCCCAGAGGTAGACACAAAATTTCAGGGTTAAAAGATACCACTTCTCCTAACCATACAACATCTTGTAAACTTGGCTTTATTTTTTAAAGCAGAACTCAGAGTTCATTGGAATGCTAAAACATGCTTGAATTTAAGGGTTTTTTTAAAATTTAAAACATTTTTATATTTACTTTTTTAAAACGTCATGACTAACCAGCTACTAGGCTCAGACAGTATTCCTATGTATTATAATTTAATGTGCTTCTCTGATGTAATGACATGACCTGTTCCAAAATACTTCATAGTTAAAAGAGGTCCCATTTTGTATCTTAATAATATCAACCTCTGGTAGAAAAGGTCAACCTCAGAATGTTCTTTTATAGAGAGTCAGACATTGTAAAGTAGCTAGAAACAAAGTAGCAGTAATGACTGTGACTGGTTACATTGAACACATTATGTCTACTTCTGTAAGGCTTTATCACAAATTGTTAATCTCACCGGCAGTTTCATAAGACATGTGTGAGGCATCATGGTGAAATCAGGCGCTCCTCAAAATAATGAAATCAAAGAAACAATAATTGTTCTACCTTTTAGGCAATTTAGATTGAGTTTTTGTTTTTTTGGCCTAACACCTTTTATATCCACACAAAAACACATTTCCAAGTAAGCTTTACGGAAAAACGTTGATTAACACTTTTCCTACGGTGAGTTGCGGCTCGCAGACGTGGCCTCGGTAGACCGAGAGCGGCAAAATACGGCTCGAGGGGCTCACTATCTATTTCAGTTCAGTAAACAAAAGGCACGAAATTCTCGGCCGATCCACGTTTTCAATATAATAGAATAGACTTCCTGTTAGCTGATATGGAAGGAAATATAGATCTAGCACTGACAGACGATTGTTTTGTCATTACAGCGCTTTTTTCTGTCCCCTTTGAAACGTAAAAAGGAAAAAAAAGTGCTCCCCTGATTTCAGTATCTCATATTTTCACTTCTATAATAATAGGTACACATACATAACTTTAACTTTCAGCATTTCTTGGCATTACTGGGGGGGGGGGGGGGGGGGGGGGGCAACCTACCCAGGAAGTTTGAATGATGCTGTTGTTGTACTTTTTTTTTTTGTTATATAGCCTTTCAAAGCCGGAAAATTGTTGATTTCATATGACATCTTCGATATTACATAATCATTTTTAGAAACCCCAAACTAACATAATTGAAATAAATCTTCAATATTGTACCTCCATCTGATAGATGATTTTTTAACCTTCAGTTAAATGGGCCACGTGACATGGTTTGAGTGTGTTTAGTTAGATGTTTTGACACATTTTTGGTGGGGAAGTGGCGTAAAAAAGGTAAAGGAAAAGCCCTGGACCAGTGGTGGATTTTGGCGTGGTAGGAAAACAGTTAAAGGCACATAATACGATTTTTAAAAAGTTTCCAAAGACTCTCAAGCTATTGAAGTTACCAAACTTTGGCAAACATTTTCTCGCTTATTTTACTACTGAAACCAGGTGACCCCACCTCGTTCAATCGCAAATATCTCGACTTCCATTTACGATAGTTGGGTATACTTTTTCATTGAAAGCAAAGCTAATGAATGAGCTTTCAGATGGTACCAAAAACTCCTCAAGCCCAAAAACTGACGAGCGCTTGATTTTCCCCCGTTGTGATACATTTTCTTGTCATACTCATTTGTTCATTTTCAATGTCATACTTCCTCGACATGTCAAACCAGTGCAAAAAAAAAATCATCTCACAATCAGTGTTACCATTCTTGTGTTACAACTGCAGTCGAACCAGCTTTGACAGCCACCTGTCCAAGGTAATCACCTGCACAAATGACCATTTCACACTTTCCCCTTGGCGTTCTTTGATATCATAATGACTTTGTATAAGATATCCACTTGTCGAAGACAACCGCTTTTCTCCTCAACATTGGGAGGCCGTTTTGGACAATTTTCGCTGTATCTACATACACGTGTGGTTGCCATATTATAAAGATTGAAGCTCTGAGCACTGAATTTTCTATTTTAAGGAAAAGACACATACCGAACTAAAAAACAAAATGTTTCGTTTCTGTACAGGGGGTGGGGGTGACTGCTAAGCTTCTTGGGTTTATATAAAGAAATGGCTTAGACGGCCATTTACATACAAGGGGGTGCCTAGAGAAACTTCCTCCATTTGGGACGGGGTCAGATAGATCTTCTCTCCGTAGACTTCTGGTTCGGTGGTACAGACTCCACACATCATCTCGATCATAGGATCGGGCAGCTCAATCTAAATGGAAAAGTCAGATCTTGATTCATCTCTCAATTAATTTAATATGCACATGAAAAACACAATTTACGAAATATAAAAGGGGGAAAGGGGGCTCAGAAGAGAACAGAGAAGAGAACGGGAGAGAGAAAGAGAGAAAGAGAGGGAAAGAGAGAGAAAGAGAAAGAGAGATAGAGAGAGATAGAGGGAGAAAGAGACAGAGACAGAAAGAGAGACAGAGAGTGACAGACAGACAGACAAACAGACAGGCAGACAGAAAAAAGATAGTAGGGAGAGGGAAAAGAAAAGGGAGAGAATGAGTGAGTGCGAAAGAGATAGCGACAGACGGAAGGGTGGACAAAGAGAGATAGACAGAGGTAGACAGAATAGGACAGCTGAGCACACAGAGAAACAGACAAAATGCAACAAAGAAAATCAGTTAGGGGTAAAACATTTGTTTCAAACTAGTTTCAAAGAATGTCTCTTTCAGCCTCTCCAACAAGTGAGGGTTTACCTAGAAATTGAAATGGCAATAATAATGTGGGCACATTTTCAGGTCTACCAGTGTCTGTGGTGTAGAGGTTAGGCACATCTCCAAAACATGAGTTCTATTCCCATGTGGGAACTACAAAGAGTACACAATATTGCTGCCAAAATAATTACTAAGAAACTAAAGCATGATCATGTGATTCCTATTTTAAATGAACTACACTGGCTCCCGGTGAAAAAGCGTATCATATATAAAATCTGTTTAACTTGCTACAAGTGCTTACATGATTTATCATCTGACTACCTAAAACAGTTTTTATCAGCCTATGTACCACCTGGAACGCTCAGATCATCAATAGACAAAACAACCCTTGTTAAACCTAAAATAAATTACAAATCATATGGCAAAGGCTCTTTTTCATATTTTGCCCCACTTGTTTGGAATGCCCCCAAAAAACTATCAGAGAAGCAGAAAATCTAGAAATATTTAAAAAGAAACTAAAAGCATTTTAGTTTTCATCATATTTCGATTAGACAGAATCCATCCAAGCTGTAGATCGTCGTGAGTTTGTATGTATGTAAGTACGTATGTGTGTATGTATGTATATGTGTGGGTATATATATATA